TCTGACCATGTACAAAAAGCAAGTAAGAAAATGCAGCTGCATTGCATATGTAATTTTGTATATCCTGTTCCAAACCACATATCTGAACATCCTGTAACAGGAAAAGCTCTATAGAACTGTGCTCAGAAACACAAGCCACAGAGCCTGTCCGGATAACTCCGGACATGAGAGAAAACCACATCCTATAGAAAGCATTAACTAATTATATGCTAAGACACAACTGCATGTTAACTTACTTAGTTTTCTGCCCTGCAACAAGTATGTAACCAATTATATGATAGCATGTACTTAATTGACTGCACATGTAACCAATCATGTAACAAGCATGTACTTCCTCATATAAGCAAATAAATGAGGAACTCAGAACACCCTCTGGATCACTCATCTCGAGGGGATTCCTGCATGTGTCTTCTTTTCTGGCTTGTCGTTGCTTGCCAGGACTCATGGGTGGCCCACCTTAATTGTGGTGAACCACAAAAGCCACAAATGGTGACCCCGACGTGATCTCTGCGGAAGTCGTTGCTCACCCAGAGATACGTCTCGGACCCCCCCTTACCCATTCGCCTGAGGGAGGCTGTGCACATTCGTCCCGTCTGAAACACGACTGGATACTCGTGAGTACGGGGGGAAAGTTCTCTCAACAACAGGTTGCGCACCTGAAGGAATTGAGGGAACTAACCGAATCTTCTAAAAATTTTTTGCTTCAAACGAGGGTAAATCACTCCCTCGATTGAAAAGCAATGATCTAATTGGCCTTCTGACATACATTTGGCAACACTTTCCATCGTACCCAGAAAAGGGGAGTTTTAAATTAAGTGCATGGACAAAATTCCCTATACTCCCACACAGAAAATATTAGAGAAACTATTTTGAAGTAGAAACAACAATAAGGGGAATTTTCAGAGTAAATTCAGAGTACATAAATTAACTCAAAATGCACTCCTCTGCATTGCATTTTGAACAAATAGGAATGTTTTGAAACTTCATGTAACTGTTAAGTTTAACCCTGTCAGACAATGTCTGATGGTGCTGTGTGTTGACATGTATTGTATTTTGTTCATATATAAATATGTGTTTTGTGTATATGTGTGGCCACCCAGAATATTATGCTTGAACTTGGAATGGTGAGAAAAATAGGAGATGATAAAGGGCCCTATATAAAAACCACATGTTTGGTTGAAATCAGCTCTTGATTTTTCTCGCTTTTTGCAGGACAAGTTATACGTTTCAATAAATGTTGTTTTAACAGTATTTTTGTATTTATGCTTGTCTGTATTGTTCTGTGTTATTTTTAAGACCAAAAGAGGGTCAAACCCTCTCTGATAACAACAATACAAAAAGGCCTATTTAAGAATGCATGGTTTGCCTGGAAAACGTATGAAATGAAATATTTGTATGAAAACAGTTAGAATGGAAGTGGATGAGTTCATCTGCTGATATATAAGTGTGTGTTAGCCCTCAAACCCTACCCCCCACCCATTTTCTCCCAGGCTGTGAAAGAAATAATGAATGATAGATTTTGTTATTGTAAAAGTAATTGAAGAGTAATAGTAAGTGTTTCCAATCAAGGAGAGAAAACTATTCTTTGGTACAACTAGCCACAAAATGGAAGCTTTGCAAAACAACAACCCGTTTCCTGTTTCTTCTTCCTCTCCAGCAATGCCCCACCCGGCCGGAAATTGTTTCAACTGTGGTAAACCCGGCCATTTTTAATCACAATGCCGCCCCCCCTGGGGGAGGGGCCTATTAAGGGCAGTTTATTCAATCGACCAAACCAAAGACAATTTATCCAAAATGTAAAAAAGGGGTTTCATTGCTCTAATCAGTGGCCTTCAATTTATAGCAATTATTAGGCATCTTCTTTGCCTACACACTTGCTCAGTCCATTATTTGATTTAGTGACCAAAGGAAAACAACCTGAAAATTTTCATTGTAGTTCCATCTGGAGCACTTGCCACAGTGGAACAAATTAATGACATCTTGCAACTTCTCAAAACTTTACCTTTTGCTTGGCAATCATCTTTTCGATCTCATCCTATTCCAGATGCCATCACAGTGTTTGCTGATGGCAGTAAAAAATATGGCCCAAAGAGTAGAACTTTTTGCTTCTATATTGGCTTTTCAACACTTTTCTGATGAACCTTTCAACCTCATCCTGGACAGTCTGTATGTCACTCAAATTGTTAGCTTTCTCTATGAGTCATATTTGGCTCCCTCCCTTGATGCAGAATCTGTTTTTC